CTTTCTTCCTGATCCTCCCTTTGTGATGTGATGAATTTTCCTTTGTCATTCAATTGAGATGCTGATGAGTTTTAATTGTATCATGAGTGATTTATTACGATTGTATTTCCCACGATTGCCTTATGCAACGTAATAAATAAATAAATAAATAAATAAATAAATAAAAATTAATGAATATATGTCTAAGTAAGCTTTTATAAACGGAGAAAACTAGAAAAGGATAAAGCATTCGACTCCTCTGGAATGCGCCACCCGGTCCTGCTTTCATTTGGATTTTTTCATCACAGTCAAACATGTGGAAGGTTTTATTTGACGAAAAAATCAGGAGAAAGAATACCCAAGCACATAGGTATTCTCCCCAGTGTTTGGTATAGATCTTGCCATTATAGATCGACCGTCCTACTGCGCGCGGAACACGCCGAGCCAGTTCTCCCCAACACCATGAGATAGTCTTATGCCAGTCGCCCAACGATTGACGAATTGTCGTATGGCTTGCCGTAAGAGTCGGTCCCTTGATCGTCAAAGCTTCTCCGCTCACGGCTGCAGTCGGGAAAATACGGCGGATAACTAGAAAGCTCACTATTCTTTTGGCCGAAATACTCCTGAACAATGTGAGCTATTTGGTGCCTGGCGTGAGCTACTTGGAGCCTGGCGCTGAAAGCTGATAATGGCGTTTGTAGTTGTATATTGCTATCCAGTTGTCAAAAGTGAGTTTTGAAAGCAAGCATCAGGAGAAAGAATGAAAAGCCACATAGTAGTCAAGTGTTGAGTTAAGTAAAGATCTTGCCATTATATGGCGGCCTCCAACTTCTTCAACTCAAATGCAGTACAATTAAGCAACGAGGGAAGCTCTTGAGTAGAGCGGCCTTTATGAACTTCTCTAAACTCATCGCACCAGAGCATTCACGTGACCACGTGATCTCGTGATCATTTCGGCTATCCCGTGACATTCATCCAAAGTTGGACACACGTGTGTTTGGGCTTAGTGTACAACCCTGTCGTGACTCGCACGACCTCGAGCAAAGATGCTCCAAGGCCATGCGCGGGAGGATGCCGCAACGCGCACAGTCAGACTGAGCGTCGACTGTGATAGGCGCAGACCCCTGGCTGTCTGCCGCCATTCAAATCGCCCGCGCAGCTGCCACGTCAGTCGACATGATGCAATCGCGCTGAGCGGTTGCTCCGTCTCGCCTCACGACGCCTTCGCCTTCGCCTTCGGCCCTCAGAAGGTCGGTTCGTCTTTGCTTTACTACATCTCATAGCTTAAGGCGGACCTCGCATTGGCCTCATATATCCTCGTTTCGCTTTACTATAAATAATAGTGTTTATTCAACTTCATAACACTATAATAGGCCAGGGTTTCCCCCACTGCAATCTCAACGTAGTTATTTCTTAATCGTAGTTCAGATATTTAGCGGGAGTTCATTTCATATGTGTAGTTTACTTCAAACATGTAGTCTCCTTTTAGTCAATCGTAGTTTGTTAACAGTTTTCTATCCTAACAGTTCTTTACAGGTTATCATATTGTAACTTCTGTGCCCTATCGATGTTTTAAATCTTTCAGATGAGTGGGATTTCATCTATTCATCCCAGCGATTCTGCGAGCAATGTGCACAAAGGTGAGAAATGGAAAGACACGCTACCTTCTAGTGCTATTCACGCTGGTCGGACGACGTATGACGTGGAGAACACTATGAGGATTGATTTGATGCGACATGCAGTCGATGAGACAGCTGCCGACAGACTTTCGAATGATATGAATCTGGTCATACCTATGCTTGAGTTACTGAATGTACGTGGAGCGAGAGTCTTGCAAGGACCAACAGTTTACGTGGCTTATTACAAGCCAGCAAATCGTTTGAGTCACTCGCCTGTCAGAAGCGTGTATTTCACTACTAAGCCGAGTGCACGTTGTAACGATTATGGTAATGCGATGGCAAGGGAAAAGATGAACTGTGCCATATTGCACGCAACCAATCGTGCGCTGGCCACCAAAGGTCAAGTCAAGATTAAGGAACATCTTGGTCTGGCAGAGATTGCCCAGCCGTTGGAGAAGCGAAGGGTGGATATAATGATGAAGTGTCTGAGAGAGCTGCAGCATACTGCGGTGCCATATTGGTAACTACCAACTTCGCTTGCACTGGCAAAAGGCGAAGAACCTAAAGAAGAGTTCTTGACACTTCTGAAGGAACTGGCTCTGATGTGGCGAACTACCCATGCCACGATCATTGAGGACGCCAAGAGTGCAAGCGGAGCCGTGGCCATCGATTTGGGGGATAATCTATTTGTTGATAGACACAAGCTGTCAGCAGTTATCCTATATTTATTGTGTACGCAATATGCACCCAATGATGAAGTACTAAAGGCTTATACCAAAGCAGATTGGCGTAAACATCACGCCTACTTGAATCGACTATGGTTATTTGCCGATCACGAATCTGCCGTAAATAGTCTGCCTCATGGCGAAACAAATTCACCAATTGATCCGGCCAAAGTGAAGATGAAGAAATTGACTGAAGCTCCTCCACCGGATGAACCTACTGCTGAATCAGATGAGCAGAGGGAGGAAGAAGAGTCAATCGATCGAGAAGACCACACCGAAGAACTGGATGAAGATGAATATATGAGGATCCCTGATCAAGATGTGGATTGGATACCAGACGGACAGTATAGACAAGCTGACCTTGAACCAGCTGATGCACTATATGAGCACGCCAGAGTTTTTCTTGATTTGCCTGCTTCAGTTTACCTGCATGAGAAAGAAGGCAAGAATATCGAGGTAGCTGTAGGTGGCAGAATGGTTGCGACCTTAACAGAGGAGGAGGCAACCCGTTTACCTGGCATCCGATTCAGTGATCCAATCAGCACCAATATGGATTTGCAGCGACTTGCATCCGCGGTTGCTAATGTGGTATTAGGGCAATCAGATGTCGACTGGAAAGCCAGCATGCACACTATCAATAAGATTTTGCCCATTGGAACCCAACTATTCCAAGCTCAACGATGGTTCTACATGATGACTAAAACGATACTAAAGATGAATGCATGGCAGCATGGGTAAATGTTTGGCTCCGGTGGCACGAGCATGTGGTCGTTGAGTACATTAAGAAACATGATAAGGAGGTGGCAATTGATATTGCTGTAAATGATAATGGCTTTAAGCCCATTATGTCCTGGCATACTTTGAATACTAGGGGGGAGGCCATGGACATTTTACAAAGATTTATGTGGAGCCGCGGAAGGACGAGGAATTTACTTCCAAGACAACGGAATCAGCTTATACGACCAAGCAGTGGTGGCAGATCTGCTATGTCCACAGGCACCTCTCAAGATTAAGATGAAAGTGACCGGGACCACGAGGAGTATCCGACCGTGGGCCAATTGTGTTAGAATGGAAGAGTACGCTGGGCGACAACCTGTGGCCAGTTTTGGCAGTGCTTCTCCCATCGAAGGCAACCCTTCCGCTGCCTTGCCTTATGGAGAATGGCTTAACACCCACAAGCATAAGTTGATGAACTCAGCCCAATACTTGCAATCCATTATTAGAGTGGCAACCCGTCTGCAGATGACTGAGGAGTGCACTGCTGGCTACTTGGTGGCTTGTCAACTGTTCGGTGGACAAGGGATACCAGACGATAAAGGATTCTACTTTCAAGCTCCTCTGTCTGGAATTTGTATCGGAGCAGATTTAACGTTGCCCCGCCCTTGCTTTCCTCCGCCACCAGTCCACCTGTTCACTACAAAGAACATGACAAATACACCCAGCCCTCCAGCTGTGCTGGGACAATTTCAAGTTGGGAAGGACAGGCTCTGCGTCAGTTCAGTTGGCTGGAACTGTGTGCACTTTATGGCCGTTCAGGCTTGGCACTTGATCCAGGAACTGCACCCATTCGCCTTTCACATGGCGATTGGCGCGGTTGTCACATATCCAAGACTTGAAATCATTGAAGGGTATCTCACAACATATGAGTCACTGTTACGCGGTGATGCAAGTCGAGAGCCGAAGCCGCAAGCAGTAAGTGCAACTGCACTATTGTGCGGAGTGTTAAAGCCATGACTGGCCTGAGGATTCCGATAGTGGTACAATGCAGGCTGCGCTATGTCTTACACTTAAAGAGCCTATTCGGAGTTGACTTCTGCAAATTACTGCAAGAGAGGAAAATGGACTTCAATAGACACATTATGCAAATTGTGATTTATGGAACGACTCAGTGCTGCAGATGTCAGTGCAATTATGTACTTACACTTTGCCGCTGGGCGTGGTTGGGTGGCTGACCAGGAGGAAGAAAGAAAGCATCGGACAGAGGAGCCCACACCGCTGTTAGCTTGGGACGAGGAGACACAGGCTTCCACTGAAGACGCTTACACCGAGATCAATGATGCAGTAGTAAAAGTCTGTTCACCAAAATGAAGATGCGAGGAGCATGGCGCTCTATGCCTACATTAAAGCAATTCTTCAATTGAAGGCTTGATGGTGCTCCGGATGGGAGCGCAGCAGGGAAATACGTCGTGCTTCCGCTAAGAGAATACACTGAGAGTCACGCTAATGCGGATTTGCAGCACTTACTGTCACGGGGAGTGCACAAAAGGAGGGCTGCGTTCTGCATCAGACGGATTAGACGGTCGGAGCGAATAAGGATTGACTGGTGTCTACATAGTGACTTCAGAAATATGTTGCGGCGCCTTGAGACCATGAGCGCAGAGAAGGCAACATTCGGACTGAGATACATAGCCACTGCGTGCGTCTTCTAAGCCTGCCTGGTGGTGATGGAGACCTAACCATCGGTGGGGAAGGCGTGGATGATTACCATGTTGATTATAAGAAGTTGGATCTGCTCGAGGAGCTATTACGCAGAGGGCAATGGTCTAATGAGACCATGACCAGGGCTATGCAAGAATTGCGCGGCATCTCGACATTAGTAGACTGGTCTAAGACTGTGTACATGAGACAGAACCGAGAAACTGCATCTCAACAAGAAGTTGTGGCTTGAAGCCCTGAAATGGGAAGACGTCGAAAGAGTTCTAAATGGTGTGCCACGATTAATCGATACGGTTTTCAAAAGAACGAAATCGCAGTGAGTAGGCAGTTATTGGCCGCTGATCCAGAGCACAGCTTTGTGAGCAGATATGTGCTAAAGCAATGCGATGGTTGTTATAAAGCCCACCAATGGGCGGATTTGGGCTACAATGCCACCGAAGAACTAACAAGAAGGATCTCCCGTTGTGAGAGGATCCGCGAACTCGGCATCACTGGAGTATGCATTGGAGCGGACTTCAAAAATTTCAACTCCTGCCACCGCCTAAGGGATATGGCTAATGACTATGCAATCATGTACTCGATGTTCCCAAGCAAGTGGCGTGAGCTGGGGAGCTCTGAAGAAGCAGTGCAAGACTGGATGAGATGTTGCAAATGGCTTGAGGATGCCGCATTAAACTGCCGTATGAGACTAGAAGATCGAAAAGAGGAAGAGCAAGTCACCGTCGGCTTGTTTAGCGGCGTCCAAGATACGAACGGCACTTAATGAAAGGAGGCATATTGTGGAAGCAACACGGGCTTTCCTCGAATGGGAACGTTGCGGCGTGCTGCAACCGAGAGACCGAGAAAGAGTCACCATCGAGCTGGGAGAGGATGATTCTATTATGATCTATGATAGTGTGGTGCTGAGCGCATTGCACTTCACATCCTTTTGCGCGAGCGGCAGACCCATGGAAGGGGTGAAGCAAGAAATATGGAGCAACCAGTGTGAATATCTACGAAATAAGGTGACCAGCCACAGCAACATGGGCTACCTACATCGCTGCTTGGGCACTCTGATATCGGCACCCTTTGGGAATACGTCGAAGCATGATGTTGTGGGCAGGCTACACGCCCTGAACCAGCAATTCGCTACGATGGTTCGCAGAGGAGCTCTGCTCCGCAATACCTTTCGGGTTTTCAGTACAGTAATGGACTACTGGTCTCAGTACAAAGATAGACGAAGCATAGAGGAAGTGGCACCACGGATGAGTGGACTCCCCAATCACATAGTATACGGAGACCAGAGAGACGGTTGACTTGGCTGCGGCATAGACTATCGAAGCCGTCAATGTTACGGAGTCGTACAGCCTGCACCTCCTCGCTTTCAAGTAAAGAAAACTCGAGTGTCCGAGGGGATTAAGGCTCGCGGAGCTTCAGACTTGGCTCAAAGCATGCTAAGTTGCGGAAGGCCTAATCGGACGCGAAGGAGCCTTGAGGCTGTTGGCAGCTGAAATACATGAAGAAGTGAGCTTGACTGCTAACTTGCCTGCTGAGATCGCCTCTGCGCATTGAGAGTATGAGTTAGCATTCAAGGAGTGGGCTTACAAACTGAATGTACCCCGCTGGGGTGGCACGCCCATCTGGATACGCCTGGACAGATATGGCAGTTGGGTGTATAAGAAAGTGACCACGATGTGGCAGGCGCCCGAGAAGATCTGGCGAGTCTTCTGCGAGTTAATAGATTACAGTGCTGTCGGACAAAGAGAGGAGATACACCAAATTGACGGCTGGTATCACATATGGGATGAGACCTGCGTCACCACTAGTAAAGAGGTGTGGAGCAAACATTAACTGGAACACGAGAACGAAGCGAACTATGTGTATGGAGTGGTATCACCGGTGGAACTTGGTGTCTCCACCTACACCAAGGGCTGTTGGGATCAATACGTGTGGATTGACGGAATGAGCCTCGGCCCAGTAATGGTAGTTGACCAAATCAATGCCATTGAGCTCAATTGGCCACGCTGCCATAGCCATTCCACCAGAGTACAGGGATAGACAAGATGTCTTTGTCGTGGTGGATGAACTGGTGGAGATGGTCCTTAAGTGCCTACGCAATCCTGCCCATGTGGCTCAATTGTATGAGTGGAGAAACCCAGTGAGGGAGAGCATACTCAGATACAGAAAGGCAGCCTCTCACCTTGCTGAGGAGAACGAGCTATCACTGATCGGATTGGTGGAGAGGATGGAGCTGAAGAGCTCTGGAGTGGTAAGAGACCTGAACCAGCTACACTGACTATGGCTGCTGGAGAAAGTGACACCTGGCTGAAGTACTTTGATGAGAATAGAGAAACAGTGCCAGTGAGGTGTGCTACCGCTACTGGACCTTTACTCACGAGCTTGATCAGGAAGTGCGTTGGTGACAGGATTATTCGAGTAGCCATTGAAGAAGGTCTGGAAGCGGGACGGAAAGTTATGGATGATTCAGAAGTGTGGTATACTTTAACATGTCATAAGTTGTGCCGTTACTCACTGTTGTGGGGGATTACCCGCAATTAACCATCTTTAACAGTTCATTCTCTGCAACCATACCGAGCGGTTGTGCTTAAGTATGCTGAAGTCAACCCCACCATCAACCTCTTCTATGAAGAATCTAACAAGAAAAGGGAAGTCTGCTCCCGCTGTTTCTACTGTGCAGCCGAATGTTCAACCACCTCGTGATATCGACAATGAAGCTCAGCAACTGCTAAGTCAAATTCAGAATATTTTGGCAGTTAAAGCTCCTGAAGTACTTCCTCTGCTGGACAAATTCATCAGTAAGTTACCATCTTCATCACTGGACCTTATTGAAGCTGAAAAAAGAGAGCGTTCAGTTGTAATTTATGGAATTCCTGAAGCAGAGCGGGAGTCACCCCCCTCTGTTCGTCAGGAACAAACTGAGAAAAGCGTTTCTGAAATTCTTGATGCTTTAGACATCGAGGCTCGACCGGTTGAAGTATTTAGAATGGGGAAAATGGGTGAAAGACCTAGATTGATAAAGTGTGTTTTTTCTTCTAAGAAGTTCATGTATCAAATGCTTTCTAGATCAAGTCAATTACGCTCACTGCCTAGATTCAACAAAGTTTATATAAGGAAATCTATGACACCTGATGAGAGGGCAAAGGATAAAGAAATGAGAAAGCGAGCCTTTGAACTGAATCGCGATAAGCATGGTGGTAATCGTGTTTTTGTTGTATATCGTGGTGAAATTGTTAAAGCCTCTGAGATCCAAGCTTTGAAGAATTCATTGTCAAAAAACTGAATAATCCCATATCTGAGGTGCATGAAGAGCCCGATTGCTTTTGTGCTCTAATGAATGCTCGCAGCTTGGTAAAGAAGTTACATCATTTCCACCATTTTGTTGCTATGTATAAACCTGATATAGTTTTTGTTACTGAATCTTGGTTGAGCTCTAAAATATCAGATTCCGAAATTTGTGCTGATCTTCCTTATAATCTTGTCAGGAATGACAGGGT